TGCTGCAGCTGGTGGCGACGGCCGTGCAGGCCCGCCAGGAACAGGAGGCTGGTGGAGCCATGCTCTCGGCCGACGATGGCGGCGCAGCAGGGGCTGCAGACTCGTCAGGAGTTCAGGTGCCCCAGTCGCTGTTGCCGCCAGCACTGCTGCCGCAGGCGGGTGCGGGGGTGACGCCGCACCACTGCACTCAGGACCCGCACATGCTGGTCCCTGACCTGACCAGCGAGTGATGGTGCATGAGGGCGCGCCGACTTGCTGCTGCTGCTGCTGCTGCTGCTGCTGCTCTCCTGCTCCTGCTCCAGCTGGACATCAGCTTGCCTCCGGGGATTTGATCGGTGCCTCTCGCGGGGTTTTGCACGCATTTGCATTGTGCACGCCGGCGCGCACGTCCCCGCCACAGATTATGCCTGCGCATGGCGCCGTGTTTCTGCCTCCCTTTCGCCCTTTTCTACACACTTCTGACATCGGCGCCTCATGTACTAGACAGCACTTTCGCCCTGCACACTCGGCTGCCCCATGTGATATGGGCGACATTGATGCCAGTCTCTGGCTCCTCGGCTTCCGATAAGCGCTTGCCTTGATGGTGCTTGCAACCTCAGTTGTTCCCCCGACACTGAAGGGCCCCTCCGGCCGCGAGGAGCGGTGCTCCCCCTACATCGCCTGTGTGCTTGTTGCCGGACTTTGCCGCACGAATATTCTGTGCGCCGCTTGACTTACGCCCCGGCACTCCCCGCAATGGGGTGGATGCTTTGCCTTTCAACCCCAACATCGCGCACACATGCGCCCCTGATGTGCGCGCATTCTCGTTGCGCACACACGGCCTGAAATCAAAACTGATGTGTTCGCCACCAGCCCCACTGCACCTGTCTAACCTTTTGGGGGTGCTGACGCAAGGTCTGCTTTGCCAGCCTGCTCGTGCGGCAGACTGCCGCGCCTGGCAAGGCAGGCCTGTCACTTTGACCCTGCCGCAACTCTGCGCCCGTTTCAACTCCACAGGCACCTGTCCTGGCGGCTCCTGCCCCGGCACAAAGCGGCACACAGCGCACGTCAGCGCATGCATTCACACGTGCTTCCCTGCCTTGCCTAAATCCACGCTCACGTGCACATTGGCCAGCCGCACGCGCATCATGAGCTGCGCAGTGGGCTGCCCTCATTTGTGGGACGCCACACTCTTGACACAGCGAGAGCGCCCCGTGCCGTTGAGAGGGCTTCTTGCTGATTTTTTCCGGTCTGTGCGCCTGCCACCAGTGACCCAGCACCCTTGTGGGCTCGCTGCCACAGGAGCCCCCCGCATCGGCCGCCACACCACAATAAACTGGCTCTGCCTTCTCACCACCAGACACCCCTGTCCTCCAAAAGCTGATTGATCCGACGCTGTCGAGAGCTGCTTGATGAGCGCTTGTCCTTGCGCCCCCCGCCTGCCTATGACCGACACCACACGTTGCCCTCTGGCAGTTGTGCTTCCCCCTTTAAAGTGCCTGCGAAGAGACTTTATGCGTGTAACTGAGACCCTCGCATCAGGACTCAGATGCCCGGTCAGCTGGCTGCTGACAGCGGGCCCCATCAGCAGGCTGCGAGGGCGGAGCGTGCTGGCCCCCACTTGTGGCCCCCGCATGCATGCAGGGTGCGCAAGTTGAGAAGGGCGCAACGTACAGGGCAGGCTGGACCTTAGTTGTGGTCTGGCAATTGCTGCATTTGATATCAGTGTGGTGGGTGATCATGCACGTTTTTCTGGCAAGTCAGGCCCAAGAGCTGCTCACCAGGTTGTACGCAGGCAAAATGACAGCTGCATGCCACGGCGCCTGCCACCTGCAACCACTGGTCATGCCGCACACTTACACTCCTATGTTTGAAACAAAACACGGTTGAGAGACAGGGTGCTGGAAGGCTGAGGGCGCCCAGGGTTGCAGCATGTAGCCAGGCGCGGTGCCTGGAGTGCTCGTCCTGCCCCGCGCGCTGCCCCCATATTTACTGCCACAGCCTGGTGTCATCGCCACTGCCGACGGCAGTGCCGCCGCTGCCAAGCCGCCGGCCCTGCAACCATGGCTGCTGCTGTCACCACCGTCGAGGCTGCTGTAATAGCGGCCCCCGCTGCCGCGGCCACTGCCGCCGCCGCCGCCACAGCGGCTGCTGCTGCTAGAGCCATACACCTGCAGCTGCTACCGCTGCTGCTGCTGCTGCTGCTGCTGCTGCTGCTGCTGCTATTCCCGCAAACCCAGCGCGGGGTCCAGCGTGTTGGGAGGCTCTTGTTCAAGGTCAAAGGATTGCTGGGATGGTGATCAATTGAGGGCATCGTGGTTTGCAGGGGTGGTGGTGCTGGGAGGGCTGGCAATGGTGGTCCTGGTGCGTAGAGGCATTTCCCCCGCAGTAACCTACGCCGGGTCCCTGTGCCATGCAAGCCGCTGCTGAGTGAATAAGGCAGCGACGCCACGAGAAGCACCCGCGGCGCAGGATGCTCCAGGTGGCCCGCCCAACTACGGGCGCACACGCTATCCCTGTTGCACCCTCTGCCGACCCTCACCTGCAGTCGGTGCAGGAAGAACAGCCCAAATGCCGCCAGGAAGACGGCCACACCCAGCACCACAACCACAGAGTCGCCCCACCACGAGCCGCCTCGCTGCTGCGGCGGTGCCAGCCCCCGCGGGCCACCCCCACCAGAGCGCACAGGACCCAGGCGCGAGCCGCGAGGGAGCCCGGGGGGCACGGCGCCGCCGCCGCCGCTGCTGGCTTGTGCTAAGGGCTGCTGCTGCTCGTCCTGCACAGTCACCACTGTCTGTGTAAGGCGGTTGTGTGAGCCCTGTCGGATCATGGCACGGCGCTGCCGCGGATGCTGCCAGAGGCGCCCGGGCTGTGCGCGCGCCGCCCGTCGGTGCGTGTCCTTGGGGGAACGAGGAGCGGTGACTGCACTCTGCTTCGGGCCTGGATGGTAGGCGTGGGTTTGATGTGCCTTGCTCACCACTGGCGCGGCCGGGCAGCGCGGCCGGGGACAGCCCGCGCTGTACTTGCGCACCCCTCGCCCCGCGCAGGTTGAGCTGGCTGGCCTAGGATCCACTCTGCGTATGAGGATGCTGTGCCTGTTCGATCGAGTCCTCTGGATGATCACGATCTTCTCAGCTAGTAAGAAGTGCGACGGAGCTCTATGGGTGCAGCCGCACGAGCCACTTTTGAGTCCGCGTTGAGCGCGCGTGTATGGAACTGGGTATGATCAAGGTCTAAAATTTCCAAAGTAAGTTGCATTTTAGTGCGGCGTGCACTCGTCGGCAGGTACAAAGCTTTGCAGCACACCCTGGCCAGACTGCACGCGGCCGAGGTCGATGCTGCTGCACGCGGCCGAGGTCCCAAGGTGTGGCCAATGCAGGCAACATAGGCTAGTTATTACCCAGCCATGGCTGCGGTACGAACGCCATGACTCTGGTATGCAAGGAAGGCTGTTGGAAGGCCAGCAGCAGCTGAGGGCGATGCTCAGTGGGTGGCAGGGGAGGCGGGCATACTGGACTGAGGTCCACAGGCTGGAGAGCACAAGCACGAGGCTCAAGGGAGTGCTGGATAGCGCGCGTGCCAGGTTTAGGGAGTATTTGCAGCTTGTCGTGGCGCTGACCGCAGGCGCCTGGGCTGTGGCGCTGCTGGGTGAGGGATGTGCAGGCAAGCGGATGTGGATTGCGGACTGCGCGCGTGACGGAGAGGTGGAGCCGTGCTTGCTCCTGGGTAAGTGCGCTGCTGTGCAGTTCAGCAGGTGCATGGCAAACCCTCGCAAGGCTCATGGGACAACCATATGCCGGTGCAATATGCGCCAAACTCGGTGCTGTCGTAGAGCTGCCTGCCGGTGGTCCTCCTGCAGGCTGTGTGCATATGCTGCAGCGACAAGTGCACTCGTCGCTGCGAGTGCATGGCATGTGCTGCATTTGTACCTTGATGCTTGCTCTAGTCTCCCCGCGCGCTCAGCGCCCCGATTAAAGATGCCCGCGCCTCCGATAGCCCCGACCCGCACCACGGCTTGCTTCTCGCACAGTCGCAGGACCTGGCACTTTGCAAAACGCCAGTTTGGCAGCCAAACCAAATTATTCAAGTGCTTTGATTTTGAACAAGATATTAACGCATATACCTCATCTGGAGCAGTGCTGTTCACAGCAGTCAATGCTCGCGCACAACGAGCTTGGTCAAGGCACGCTCGTCTAGCGTGCTGCTGCGCGCATCATTGTGGCCAGCCAGGCTCCTCCCACCAGACTCTAGGTATGGCTGAGGCTTGGGCAGCGATGTATTATGGCGGTACGTTTGTGATGGTTGGAGGGCGACATATTGACTGAAGACCTGAGGGGAGGGGCAATTCAAACTTGCTCACTAGCTGCCTGCAGTCCACTGAAATGGGCTAGCAGGTTTGCAAACAGCGTGAATGGGGCCAACAGTGGTATTGCAAACAGGTAGAGGATCCCAGTGGGCCATGGCCAGGATGCAGCAGCGGCGTGGTGGAGCGCAGAGAGGCGCAGCGCAGCCATCAAGGGTGGCACTACTGGGTGCGGGCTTGTCTGCAGTCGGCAAACAGATTGCCATGTATCCCGTGCATGATCATACGATCGTTGAGGAGTATGTATACCATCCCATTTTCCGTTCATCTTGAATGTGATACTGCTGCATCCTGAACGTTTTGGTGCAACCTTGTGTGCTTTCGTTTAAGGAGGCAGCCCCGCGCTGTCGTCCAGGAACCTTGGCAGTTTATGAGCAGACCGATTCTTTTCCGACCATAACATCAATCACGCAGCAGCAGAGGCAGCGGGCGGACCAGGCCTGTGCTGCTGACCATTGCCGCCGCACTGCACACACACCGGTAGCATGCATGCATCCCTGCGCCCCTGCACTGCTCGTCGATCGCCCGCATATGATGTTGCAAACGTCGTAATGTGAGAAGGGAAGTGTGATGCCATACAGTGCAACTTGGCGTGCACAACGCCTCCTGGGTGATTGCAGCAGCTGCTGGTGCCAGCCAACGCGTCGGCAGTGACTCCATGATGTCGCAGCTGTGGCGGATCAGTGTGCAGCGGCTGGGGCGCAACCTGTCGGAGGCGTCCGAGCTGGCCAGCGTCTTCCAAGAGGTCGCGCCGGACCTGCAGGTGGGCGCCCCCGGGGGCGGCGTCCTCGGGAGGGGGCGCGGTGCCGTTGATGCTGAGCAGCTCTATCTCTACTGGGGCCGCCGTACACATGCGCACCGCCCAATAAGCCTGCCGGAGGGAACTTACTAGGCGCCCACAACCCTTGATCTCCCTGGATGCGGCCCACCCTGCGACACCTCGGCCAGGTGGACGGCCTGTCCCAGGTGGCCCCCAGCCGGCCCAGCAGCTCCAGCGGCACCGGCACCCCTGTGTCGGGGCGCGAGCGCGTCCACCGCGCACGGCCCATTGACATCAGTGAGTGCAGATGCAAACAGGATCCACGCCTGCCCGCATGCATTGCTGATGCTGCAGGGCGGCTGTTGGGCGGGGCATGGCTGGCGCTCGCTGATCGGACTGATTCCCGCGGCGCGGCTGTCCGTCTGACCTGCCGCTGCCTTTGGCCGGTGCCCTCCTCCCTCAGGCCCCACGTGCGTGCGGTGGCAGTCGTTGCGTGCCGCCGTGTCCTTTGAGTCCCTCCAGGACCCCGGCCCCCTGGGTGGCCTGCAGGACAGGCCGCAGGTGAGAGGTCCCCAGCGGTGGTCGCGGGCGTCGTCGCCGATGCCTCCCTGCTTGCAAGCAAGATACTCCGCACATTGCGCTCAACGCCCGGCATGTGCAGCAGCAGGCCGCTGGACCAACCTGGCGCCCTTCAACCTTGATCATTGCTTTGCTGCTCCTGCACTCTTGCTCTTTGTGTCCGCCCCTCTGCCTGCATTGCTTTGCTGTACAATTACACCTTCCGTGCCCCTGGCAAGTCACCCTGCGCCCGAATTTGTAACCCTCTCGCCGCGGATCCCAACGCCACGCGCCGCAGCTGCTGGAGGTCAACACAGGCGGGTCGGTCTTCTTCCTGATCTTTGGACCAGACGCGCGCCGCTCGCGCCTAGGCGGCGAATGCCTCGCTGCCTGCAGCTGCCGCGGCACCGGTGCAGTGGCGGCGGCCTGCACTTGCGGCGGCCCCGGCGGCAGGCCCTCTGATGGCGGCTGCGAGGAGGGTGTGGCGGTGCTCAAGGTGGCCAGCAGCAGGCTGGCTATGCAGGCCGAGCAGTTTGCCAACGAGCTCGCGCGACACCTGGGTATCGCGGCGCCGCTCTGCCGCCTCGTGCGCCAGACAGGCGACGGCGCCGGCGAGTGGACGGCGGCGTGCGATGCGGCGGACGCTCTTGGGGAGGCAGGCGACGAGCTGAGTGGCGAGCTGGGGCGCATGCCCTGCTTCCTGCTGATGGAGTACGTGGCGGGGCGGCCCCTGCTGGAGTGCGGCGACGCCTTCGAGGTGCGGTGGGAGGGCGAGGGGCGGTTGGCCAGGACGCGTCTGAAAGGGGGGCTTGGCTTGACGGCTGAATTGCCACCTGCGCCTGTGTGATTGCTGCTGTTGGGTTCGTGCTTGAGCAGATGAGGGCTGTCGTACAGACAGCTGCTGAGCAATTCGGATTGACCCCACTGGGTCAATGCCTGTGCCTTCCTCATGCACGATGCTCATTTCCTCCCTCTGTCAACACTGCAGGGCCCTGATACGCTTCCCCTGCTGGAGGATGTGGGCCGGCTGCTGCTGCTGGACATGCTCCTGGGTAATGCGGACAGGCTGCCGCTGCCGGAGCTGGGCTGGCGTGGCAACAGGTCAAACGTGCTGTTGGGGGCTCAGGGTGAGCAGGGACTGGCGATGCAGGGTTACGGATCCAAATAGATTTGCACCAGTTGCTTCAAGCTGCCATTATCAAGCTCCCATTCGAGACATTCAATCACCCGCCGACCTATATTTGTCAATCGGCAGCATAGTTGATACGACGTGCTGTGATGTCAACAAGCCTTTGACATTTCCCATTGGTGCTGGCATCGCGGCTCAGGTAGCAAGTACGCTGGCCGCGCTGTCGCCATAGACTCGTGCGTCGCGCGCCGCCCGCCGGCGCTCAAGTCGTGTGCGGAGGACGCGGCCGTGGAGCGCCTGGCGCAGCTGGTGATAATGGCGCCCGACGTGGCGGCCTCGGTGGTGGGCCAGCTGCTGGGGCCAGAGGCGGGCGCGGCGGCAGCGGCAGCCGGCCCGGCTGGGTGCGACGGCGTGGCTGCGTTCCAGAGGGGCTTCCGCGAGACGCTGGCGCGCGTGCTGCGCATCAGGGTGCGGCGCCGGCAGGCGGCGCACGGGGCGGGCTGGGTGATGGGTCAAAAAAGCAACGTCGCAGCGTCGCAGCGTGGGAGGAGGCCCGGATGGGTTGCAGGCGAGTGAGCTCGCACTGTGCACAAGAGCAGCCCCCAACCCCCCCCCTTGCTCCATGGGCGGTCCCACCCCTAGGGCCTGCTGGAGATGATGCAGGCGCACACTGCGGAGTGGATGGCGGAGTTCTTTGACGACGTGGCGGCCCTGGTGCCGGGCGGTCTCAGGGGGCCTCAGGGCACGCTGTCGCCGCCGCTGGGCGCGCTGGCAGCCGGAATGCGCACGCCCTCCCACCTGTCGCCGCGGCCGGGGGATTGCGGCCCCGCCTCGGCACGCATGTCGCCACGCACCAGCCTCCACAACCGCGACTTTGGCGGCGCTGCGGGCGGGGGTCCCTCCAGCCCCGGGCCGATGCGCACCAACTCCCTCGTGCGGGGCTCCAGGTCCGGGGCGATGGCAGGGCTTGTGACGGTCACCTGGGCGGGAGCCTGACAAGGCGGCAGCTGCAGCGGAAGCCGACTCAGGGGGCACGTGGCATTGCCCATTTCTGCCTTTGGTGGGTGGCTTGGCGTCGCACCGCTGCTCGCCACCCGAGAGGTGTCTGTCTCATTGAGCCAAGCAACCATCGTCGGCGCAGGTCCTTTACCCTGGGCTTCCGTGCGCCCTCAGGCGCCCTGGCGAGCGGCTGCCCCCCCTCACCCGGGTCAAATGCCAACGGCGAGCCCAGCCCAGGCAGGGCCCCGCCGCCGCCGTCGGTCGATTCCTCCGCTGCTGGTGCTGCCGCCGCCGTGCGCATCGCGGCGGCGCGCCTCACGTCCCGCGTGCTGTTCAGCGCGCCTGGGGGCAACAACGCCCAGGGCGGGGTCGATGGCAGCGACCAGCACGCGCAGCAGCAACCGACGCCGTTGCCGCCGCCGCTGCCGCAACCGCCATCAGATCAGCAGCAGCAGCAGCAGCAGCAGCAGCAGCAGCAGCAGCAGCAGCAGCAGCAGCAGCTGGGCCAGCAGCAACACAGGGCGCTGCCGGTGCCCATCAATTCAGAGGCTGCTCTCGCGGCTGCAGCCGCACGACGTGCGTCCTGGGATGAGCCACCGTGGCGCAGCACTTCCATCGCCATGTCGCCTCAGGTGGCGGCTTGCTTGGGTGCCGGGTTCTTCATCACTGTCACTCTTCTCTTGTTGGGGTCAGCCCCCAGACAGGTTCTGCTGCCTCTTCTCACGTGCACTTCTGCAGCGACGGCCCTCATCTGTTGTGCTTCACCTACCCTGCAGCTTGCCGTGCCACGGCCGTTGCACCCTCGCAGCAGTGCTCCTTGGTCCCTGTGGCCGCTCCTCATCCTGTGTCCGGTCCTTTCCCTTCCCCCCAACCCCTCGCTCCTGCGCAGCGCTCCCCGCGTGACCCCCTGGAGGTGCGCGCCAGCGGTGGCGCATCGCTGTCCCAGGCCGTCAGCAGCGCCCTGGCCGGGATCGCGGCCGAGGCGCGCCACGACGAGGCGCTAGCTGAGAGGGTGGCGCTCTGGAAGGACCGCCTGCGGGAGAGAGGTGGGTGGAGGCCGGATGGAGTGGAGAGGCGGGGCCGGGACGAGGCAGGGAGTGTGGACGCATCTCTGTTTTGAGCTAGTGGATGGATGGCCAAGCAGGCTGTCTTGGGCACAGGCTGGGAGATGCCAAGAGCACTGATGGGGCCTGGCCCAGGACGGATCGATTTGAAGGCCACAATTCTGTTCAGATTGCCTTGACCACAGCAGCAAGGGCTTGGAGAAGGCGCAATGTCCACAAGCCGTGTGCTCTCCGGTGCATGGCCTCCCTCGCTCCTTTCCCCCTCAAGGTGCGACCCTGGCTGCCGCCATCAGTGCGTGGCAGGCGCGCCAGTCCCTGGAGCGCGTCCTCACGACAGGCTTCCTTGACGGCAGCCACCCCCTGGTGGACGCGTACGAGCTGGCGGTCAGGCTGGAGCACATGCTGCGGAGGCTGGGGGCGCTGCAGGGGGCGGCGACGGCAGAGGCACCCGTGCAGGTGCGCTGGGTGGTGTGCACCGGCAAACGGGCGGGGTCGATGATGGGCAGGGGAATAAGCGCGTCATCGCTGTCGCTGTTTGGGCTCCAGTGGGGTACCATGCAGGCGGGGCTTCAGCCAGGCACGCGGTTTGGGCCACAAGTTGTCAGGCCAAGCCTGAACGCAGCCATGAAGACCCGCCCTGACTCTGCCTCACTACCAAGGTGGCCCCCTGGCTGTTCCTGGGGGGAGCTGTGGCCGCGGACAGCCACCACCTGCTGGCCCACATGGGCATCACACATATCCTCAACGCAACAGAGGTGGGGTGGCGGGGATGGCCTTGAGGCGCAGATGTCATGTTAGGCAATGAGCAAACAACGTGCTTTTGGGTGACGCATATACACTCACGGGCACAGCCGCGGCGCCCGAGTCTGGCGCCACCGCCCCACCACCCCAGGAGCTCCTGCTGCCGCCGGCCTCTGCGGGCTTTGACGTGATGCGCGTGGCCCTGCGCGACACCGACAACGAGGACATCGGGTTCCACTTCGAGAGGGTAGGGGGGGGAGGGGCGGTGGCGAGGGCGCGCAGGACGAGGTGCATGCAATAGGAGCGAGTGGGCTGCGTAGGAAAGGGCTGCCGTCTCGGGCTGATAATTGGCCTGCAGCAACGGCATACACCTGTTCAACAGGGGCCAAGCCCTTATTGAGGACAAACAACCAGGCTAATGAGGGCGCTATGCCACCTTGGTGTGCCACCCTCCCCCGGCCTGTCACCAGGTGCGCCACTGGGTGGACGGCGCGCTGGCTGGCGGTGGGTGTGTTCTGGTGCACTGCCACGAGGGCAAGAGCCGCAGCGTCACGCTGGTGGCGGCGTACCTCATGGCGACGCACGGCCTCGACGCGGCGACAGCGCTGGCGCGCATACGGTGCGCGGCACATCGAGGGTTGGCCTGGCAGCCGGCGCGGCTGCTTGGGGCTGCACGATGCCATTGCTGGAGCACTGCTGAGCAGCGTCAAGCAGCTCCACAGCGCACACAGGCTGTGCCTTGACCGTATTGCTGCCAGCATGTGCGCAGCCCGTTGTTACTTGCTATGAGCTCTTTGCTGGTCAGACGCCATGTCATGCACCAAACATGCCTTTGAACACCCGATGTTCCCGACCCCCACCCCAAGGGCCGTGCGGCCCGGGGCCTGCCCCAACGCGGGCTTCATGGCGGCGCTGCTGGAGCTGGACGAGGCCCTGCACGGCACACGCAGCCTGGACCCGGGGGACGGGGGGCTCTGCAAGCGGGGCAAGCCCGCGCCACGCGTGTGTCCAATCTGCAGGGAGCCCGCCGGCGTATCGAGCGGCAGTCTAGCTGTGCATATGAGGGCGCGTCACCGGGAGGTGGCTGCAGCCAGTCTGCTGTCTGGCTGAGACTGCTGGTATGGAAACTTAATCACCGTGCGAGATAGTTACAGAGTCCAATCCCCCCTCAAACGTTGTGTGGAGGGCCCTGCACCAGCCTTGGAGAGCAGTTCTAAGGGCGCCTTTGAGCAAATGAATGGAGCAGTCTTCAAGTGAAGGGCTGCATAACTTTGATAATGTGTAAAAAGGCCCATGCCGTGGGCCTTGCAATGCAGAAACGCCAATGTTTATGGTGGTGCTACCAGCTTCCCATGTTTCTGCAAACCACACCACACCAGGGCCGTCGCAAAGGTCAGGTGTAAAAAGGGCAGGTGTGTCAACGAACGGGCATTGTTTGAAAAAAGCCCAGCAACAGATGCATGTACGATCTGTCGAAAACAAGTATGCATCAACAGCCAAATTGTGGTTGTGAAACCATGCAGGTGCTTCTCATCCAGCAGGCAGGACCCACACGGGTGCATACTACTGACGCAGGCTTGCAAAAGAACAGAAATGTTGAGACTAAGGAACTCCACACACGGGGAGGCACTTGTCTCTGTACTCGCTGCACATGAATGGGTCGAAAACAGCCACTCATCCTGCATGGGCCCGCTGGTCCAAGCGGCGCAATGTGCACTCTGGATGATGTGGTGGCTCGAAACGTTTATTGGCAGCACGGCGACCCACTGATGCTCATCAACGCTCGCTGCCGCTTGCAGCGTCATGGGATGGCATGCGCCTTTGCTGCACACACTTTGTTGTCATCTGCCACGATTGCTGTGCGCTCCCGAATTGCTGGGCTGCTGCCTCTGGGCCTCTTTCTTGGTCGGTGGAGGAGGAGACCTTGACCGGACAGGCGGCGGGCTCCATGCCTCAGGTGCAGGCCAAGCCTTGGTAGGGCGTAGAGGTGGTGGCGGTGGCGCAGGCTGAAGGCGTCCCCGAGCAGGGGTCACCAACCCCGGCTGCCTCTGGGCCTCTTTCTTGGTTGGTGGAGGAGGAGACGTTGGCCGGGCAGGCGGCGGGCTCCATGCCTCAGGTGCAGGCCCGGCCTTGGTAGGGGGTAGGGGTGGTGGCGGTGGCGCAGGCTGAAGGCGGCCCCGACCAGGGGTTGGTGACCGCTTGACGCCCGCTCGCGCTGCGGTCTTCTGGTTTGCGGCGACTGAGTGCGGTGAGGTGCGGTTGGCACCAGCAACCGCAGGCCCTGCAACCGCAGGCGGGGAGGGCTCTGTGCTCGGGCTTGGGGGCGGCGGTGTCGAGGTGGGCGGCGGCGGGGATGGCGGCGGCGGGCATGGCGGTGGCGGGGATGGCGGCGGCGGTGGGGATCGCAGGGGCTCGCTGCCGAAGGGCGCCACGTTGGTGCTGTAGAAGCTGTAGCGGCTTGGCCCGCCTATATTAGTGACAACCATGTTGCCTGGTGGGTAATAGTGGCTGTAATAGAGCAAGCCAGTTCAACATTGTGGGGACGGGGGCAGGGTGAGAGGTTAACTTGAGTGGATGCTGCCCAACCAGGAATAAGCTGCTTAAACAGGGCCCTAGCATGGCACGCTGGTCATGGCTTGCAACACGCACGTCTATAAGAAAGCCCTGAAACGTTCGGTCATGGAGGAAGTGGGTGTCGCGCCCCCCCCCCCCCCCCCCC